GACATTAATATATGTCTGATTTCAGCTCAGATTTAAACAGTTGATGATGTGAAAAGTTTACACTCATTAGATTTAATATCTCCCCTGGGAAATTCAACTCAGATGAAAATATCCGCTTATTTTAGTAAATTTTAGAACCTGAAGTATGTCATCAAAACGACAAAGTCTTGATGGAATCCGGTTTTTAAAATACTGACGATATTTGCGACATGCGAATTTGTAGTAAGTGCGGATGAACCCGCTGCCGACGACCATAGACATTATGTGCCTGAGGACGAAATACGTCGAAACGTTGCATAAAACCTTAACCAGTGATTGTTTTTGCATAAAGCTGTGTATATAGACCATAGACATATTATAATGTTGTGTAGTAATCCATTGTTAACTTGTTACAAATTTCAAACACTGTTATGGTCCATTGTCCTGATGAAAATTTACAATATGGCGATATGCTCGATAATAAGACATACGACTAAATTTTAGTGGACATATAAACCGTTGTACAACAAAAGTACCATCAGTTAACTAAACGTTTAGTATAAGCAAGTATTATGTTGTCATGATTAAGTGAACATGTAAACCGTTGTACAACTAAAGTGTCATCAGTTAACCGAACCTTTAGTATAAGTAAGCATTATGTTGTCATGATTAAGTGAACATGTAAACCGTTGTACAACAAAAGTACCATCAGTTAACCGAACCTTTAGTATAAGTAAGCATTATGTTGTCATGATTAAGTGAACATGTAAACCGTTGTACAACAAAAATGTCATCAGTTGACCGAACATTTAGCATAAGCAAGCATTATATTGTCATGATTAAGTGAACATGTAAACCGTTGTACAACAAAAGTACCATCAGTTGACCGAACGATTAGTATAAGCAAGTATTATGTTGTCATGATTAAGTGAACATGTAAACCGTTGTACAACAAAAGTACCATCAGTTAACCAAACGTTTAGCATAAGCAAGCATTATATTGTCATGATTAAGTGAACATGTAAACCGTTGTACAACAAAAGTACCATCAGTTAACCAAGTGTTTAGCATAAGCAAGCATTATGTTGTAAACCGTTGTACAACAAAAGTACTATCAAGAATCTTTAACATAATGAAAATAGAATACTTCATCAATGACAAATGGGTGACTAAGTTTAATGGGGTCTTTAAATGGAATTTACTGTACAAATTCTCGAGTTAATATAAAAACATTCTACTACTTTATTTCTGCCTTGTCGATTTCTATTGACGCTTTTCCTTCTATTTACATTTCATCAAATTAGATTTATTTCACATTAAAGACCACTCTCTTATCTCCCGTGAGGACATTTTAAAAACCTCTTACTCTCTCTCTGGCTTTGTCATTTTCTCTTTAGCTGAAAAAATCGGATTTAAAAGATACGTGAACACAGCAAGATGTCATCCATTTTCAGATTATTTAAAAAAACGATTGCAGTTCGTTAAAGCAACGTTCTATCTGCTGTTATCTGATGTTCGTTGAATACTGTTTCAGTCAAATATATAGAACTATTGAACGAGATATAATAGTCTATAGTATCCAGCTAAATCTGTTACACTATAAAACTAGTGGTAGTTCTAACATTCCGTGCTGCTGAAAAGTAATTTGAATATACATGTACCAAAATTCATTAGTCCACTGCAAACAAGTAGGACGTAAAACTCCATTCATTTCATTTTGTTTGGATATAGAATCCTCATCAATACACTTTCTCTTGGAAATGAAATCAGATAGAGTTTTAACTCAAAGAATTCTTCTGTAGATACCTAATTTGGCTAATGAAGATAACCGATACCAAGGGAATTTAGCAAGGACCATGACATTGGTCTAGTTGTCGATTTCAAATTGACGAGGGATCTATAACGTGCACAGTCTGTAGCACACGGGGTCTCGTTGAATCATTCGATCTTTTGAAATGGAATCTAGAGTAAAGTATATCTTTAACATTACGAAAGAAAGAAACACATAATCTTAATGGATATAAAATAACCTCAAACTTTTTTTAAATCACGCCAACAATGTTGGTTCATTAGTTGATTATTTAAAATATAATACAGAATTTACATGCAGGATGTCTGGGGTGTTATGACCCTATCTCTGAGATTAAAGAGATTGTAAAGAGGTTTTCTAAAATTTGTATGTGTATCGGGGACACTGATAGCATCATTTTGGACCGTCAAACAGTCGTCTGTGTTTCCTGAAATTCAACTAAAACTAAGTGTTTGATGAGGTCACTAATCGCGAAAGGGCCTCATGTGATAAAGCGCATTTGCGATTACTTTTAGTGGAGCATAATCGTCTAACTGTAAATGGGAATTGATACTATCAGTGTCCCTTATACACATTAAAAATTTAAAAAAACGTTTTTACAATCCCTTTAATAGTGTACTATAGTTCTACCAGTGGATGGTATTGTACAACTGCAGATAAAGATTTTTCCGTTATTGATTCTGCGTCATGTGATAGAAAACGAAACTTCCTTTCGAAGAAACATCTCTATCAAACAATATAGAATCCATTAGTGTCTTTGTATTGTTCTTAGTCAACGAAAACTTATCAAGTTGACAAACCAAGCTGGACAAGATAAACTTTGGTTTCCAACATTTTTATTCAAAATCAAGACCATAGCGTAATGGATGCCAAGTTAAATTATCAGAAAGGCCTATACACCTATTCGTGGTTTGATATTAACTTACTCTATCCTTCTTTTGAATTTGTCAAATACTGTCTGTAGTCAATAACTTAATTATCCCCCTTTATAGGCCCAAATAAAGGTACATAACTCTTATTACTGTGAGAACATGGTGGGTAACGTGGGTCTTTATTATTTGTATCGATTCTCGCTTATAAGCTTATTTATTCACGCCCAAAACTGTGGCAATATCACTTTTATGATTTTGAGTAGACTTACCAAGATAAGGTGTTCATGCACAATCGCCAATTTGTCTAAGCATTAACACGAGGGCGTGTCTATGTAGGCCTAAAGTGAATTATGCTAATGCGAAATGGTATGTAAGCTAAGACTGCAAGTATGAGCATTGAAAGCTAACTTACTGAATAGGATTGAGCAATCGACAAAGGAATTCTACAGTAGGCCCTACGAAGGCGAAAACATTAAGCACATACATACCGCATAGGCTGTTGCAGAATTAGACAATTTACGCACATGGTAAAAGACCTAGAATAAGATCCAGGGTGCGAGGTACAGATAATCTGGTCGTATAATAGACACATACCCATTAACCATTAGCGGACTTTCCCTAAATCAGTCAATTTAGCCCCAATTAGAGTGTTAATCCATGGATTAGAGAGACAGCTAAACCAACATTACACCTTGAGTAGTACGATAAATAGTGAAACGCATTCTTCGGTAGGTTGTTATACCATTCCATTATAACACAACATACTTTATAATATATAACAATTACTGATTTATTGTAACAATACGACGTTTCGACAATGTACACCACGAGTAGCACTAAAAAAACTGAAATGCACCCTTTAGTAGGCTATTACAATTGTAACAATGCGACGTTTCGAAAATTTACAGCATTTAATACTGACGAGTTTTGGTTTTCTAATCGATTCGTGTGTGTTAAAAGTCTAACAAATTGTTATTCTATCATCCTTGATAATCTTGTCGAAACCGTGCAGCGTGCAATGTGGGAAATTTAACTAGGACAGCAATGTATATTAAGAGACATGAGATTTGATATGAACGACATTTAGAAGTGGAGAGTAGATATAACAAAAAACACAAGGGGTATATTATGGTATAACTTACTTCTTTAATAACAAAGCACATAACTTTTCATACGACATGTATCAGTATCAGTCTATTCAGTTCTTTAATTAAATTCACAGTGATTAATTTCTTCTAACACCCGTGATAATCTTGCATTAGGCTACCATGCTGTGTGCAATGAGAGAGATTTTGAAATCTACAGTGTTTATAGTATCTCATGATTGTTATTCAAGCACTCAAGCAAGCAAGATCATGCTGTGTGCAATGTTTTCACCCATTGAGTTCTCTAATGAAATCTACAGTGTTTATAAAGTGTCATACGATTGTTATTCAAGCACTATTAAGAGGGTTTTAAAATGCCCATTTGAGTTCGACTCTATGCACTGCTAATCAACGCTGATTGTGAAGACAACGTATTGACGACTGATCGCGTGAAAAATTAAGGAGGTTTCCGAGGCGGTTTTAAGAAAATTAATGTCTGTCGGGTTAGTGTGTCAGATTGATTAAGGAAAATGACTCGAATAGTCTGCGTTAAAAACAATATTGTCTTGGTAACGAATTAAGTATGAATAGAAGTGTGTCTATATGAGTTAATATTTGAATTTTTAGATTAAAAAGTTTCCGATACAAACGTTTCAAATTTTCTAAAGAAATTTTGGAAAATTGAATCATTATTGTTTTGTTGCCCGTGAATAATGAAATTGGCTGATTTAGAAAAAGAAAATTGATTTTGTAACATTACACTTTCTAACTAAGAGAATTAATTGATTTTTTGAATTAATTTCTACATTGTTGTTGTCTAAGCAATATTAGGTCTCATGTTATCATAGGCTTAAAATGTACAATCCTGTTAAACTGCTCCACAGAATTTGTATATTGGCCAAAATAGTTGAGTGATGTTTTTAATATATTTCACTGTAGCTCTAATAGTATAAAATACGTGACATATAGTTCTAAAGTGTCATGATGCTATTAAGCTGTAATATGTAATGTATCAGAGATTAATTGTGAATGTAAATACTCGAGACTGTTTCGATTTTGTATTATAAGTATTCTTATCCTAGTTAAAAGTTGTAAAACCCAATCAGGCCACATTGTCACGGTATTCAGATGATTACAACTCGACAATGTCTTAATCTATACGGTTAAACTGTATTTATTTTCTTGTATTTTGCAGAATTGAAAGGATAAGACCTGATGATCACACCAGACCCATTTTATCTCTCTCGACTCATAATGACTGACGGATTGGACCCCCTATTAGCCTCGTTTTGGGAAGGCTTTCCCTGCCCTCCCCCATGGCAATCAGGATTATTACAACAGTTGAATTTTTCCGGGTGTTTAGGAACATCGATAGGTAAGATTGTATTTAATTAAAAATAGCAAGTGCTTAGGCTTTGATTTAGTTTTGCCTTCTGTCTTGTCGACTGATTTTAAGGACTCTTATTTGACAGTGTGAAGTATAGATCTAACAATGAACAGTGCTAATATTATCGATTTGGTATAAGTTGTTATTTCCTTACAGAGATCGTTAAGAGATTTTCATACATATATTAGTATATATATTTAGAAGCTGTGTAATGCATTGTTTCCTAAAACTCAAGTTATTCGACCGAATCTTGAGTCCAGACAATCACGAAAATACTTAATCATGGATATTGTCATTACCTAATGTTTCATATTGTGTTCTTGACGGAATACACTACATATTTTGAATGCACTTTCCGTACCTTCGTCCTGTAACATAGTTGTTGTTTTTCAGGACAGCGAATCCGCTCGTTAATGATAAGTCGGTGTGGCGGTGGTAAGAGTGAAAGAATGGATGATAATTCTACAGTTATACTCGAACATCCAGTTGAACCAAGGTTTATAATGGAGGCGTGTGCTATGAACTGTAAATTGTTGATTATTTCTGTGTGTATTATTGTCTTTGTTAGTATTTTATCAGCAGTTATCTACCTTTTATACAGGTGAGTTATTGTTCTTGGATTTATATTGGAATTCTTGCTGTATTTTCTCATTCAGCATTGTTTTGCAGAGAGATTGATTCGATGAGTTATATAGCTTTGTAGACGAGTTAGCCTTAGACGATTTGACATGTGGACGATTCGACTGAACCTCGTGTGCGTTCGAGTATACGCATAACTAGTCTACTTACCTACAAATCAAATGACGACTGTCTACAGATTTAGAAAAATACACACCCTCCCCATAAAAACCTACATAATTGACCCCACAGATATTTGATATGGTTTCCTTCTTTAACCCTCAGAAAATCACACCTATTCAATTCTATTATTTGCCACCCCCCTCCCCCCACAGATATTTAATATGGTTTCCTTCCTTAGCTCTCAGAAAATCACACCTATTTAATTCTTTGATCCAATCGGCCATAAATATCTCTTACAGGAACTTCAACTCGAAAACAACGAATGGTGGTCGAGGACGCCATGATGTTAATAAAGCCTTCAATAGCTGTCATTATGCTTCAGCTCCTGTTATTAGTAGATTAGACGAGGTAAGAACGAGGTTAGATTCCTTGTTTCTACTTCTACACGAAGTTCTCTTATCAAGGCCTAGAGATAGAAGTTGTTTGTTGTGGAAACATCTGAAGTTGCCCGAATTTCTAACCTACTTATGACAGTCATGCCCGAAAAACTTGTATTCGCGACGGAGAGGAGCTGCCCCCTTTGGCGCCTCCACTGCTCTGTGAAATGTTCTTGAATGTAACCCACTTAACAAGACCTATTCAAAGAACCAATATGACCATTGTCGATAGAAAACAAGCAAAATCCACGCCATTTTGTCTTTACATTTCAGACGAGTTTCAGCCAAGGAAAGGAAGTCTGTCAACATTCCAAATCTAAAAATAGTGCTCCGCAAAATAAATACGATAAACTTCGCTTTCCATCCGAAAAACATTCCCAGATTTACCCTGGGATAAAGGACAGACGTGTCAATACATACGAAAATGATTTCGATACTTCGAACGATTACGAATCCATAGATGACATCGACAAATGTGACTCCAGACACGGCAGTCCCTGGAAGTTTGGGCGCCATTATAAATTCAGTCAAGGGGAGACAATTCTATCAGTGTCGTCTGATCAAGAGGATACAGACGACAATTTATGTCAGGTTTCCATGGACAACTTGCACGACGAGGAAAGTTTTAGTTCTGTGGCCTGTAACGAGGCGTTCGAACCGGAAGCTAGTGATGACGATATATCACGTGACTATCTTGCCGAAATCAATTTCGATATCAGTGGATCCAATTTAACCGCCCGCGTTCCTGAATACGTTCCGACATTTTCTACTTTTAAAAAAGAATCTGTGTTTTCGTGAACGGAGAGGATAGTTGGAAGTCATGGCCGTTGATTTATGGATTCGAACATTGTTATTTGGTACGTTCGAACATTGGTGTTTGGTACGTTCGAACATTGGTGTTTGGTACGTTCGAACATTGGTGTTTGGTACGTTCGAACATTGGCGTTTGGTGCATTTGAAAATTAAACTTTGATGCGTTCGAACATTTGTGTTTGGTGCATTTGAAAATTAAATTTTGGTGCGTTCGAACATTGATGTTTGGTGCGTTCGAGTGTCTGGTTAAAACCACCGTTATTGATCCATATTGACTGGTCGGATCCAGAAGTTTATTGTCAATAATCAGTCGGTACGTTCGAGATCGGTGTATGTTTTGATCTAAAACGCCTTTTGTGCGTTCGTGCGTTCCATTACTATTTTCTGCCATTCGAGAGGTAGATACAAAGATAAATTGTTTTGGGACGACAAATCTCCGAAGTATATACTAAAAACCAGTCGTGTAAGATGACGACTTTCTGTGTTTGTTCTGTTAAAATTAACAGAATAAACGCTTGACACTGGCGCCATGTGTTTAAGATAGTGTATCCATTACCAGGACAACTCGTTGACAATTTCAAAATGAACCCAGGTATGGCCTGAATGACCCCAGACGTGGTTAAATTGCTGACAGATTGATCAGTAATAGATGTAACGAATAAACAATATTAGCAAGGCTTTTTGGACTGTCATAAAGTGATGCCGAGTTGGCAAACATAGTCGCCGAGTGGCACCAGTTGATCCGGAAGAATGAGCATTTCTTGCCCAGTAGATAAACCCACCACAATACTTGTTATATAGCGGAAATCGGATTCAATTGAGCTTGAATTGGACTCACCATCGGCCTATTGGTGTGTTATTTAAACAGTCTTTATATCACTCACACTGTCTTCAAAATTCCTAACTAGGTCAGCTTGACCATGTTTCACAGTACAGAATAGTGCAATCTATTCAGGTCTTTTCAGTTTAGGTCAAAATGGTTCTTGAGAACATTAATATCAATTCCATCTCTTTTATATTTTGTACATTTATATATAATTAATGCCTGCGAGTATTCCAGTTATTTTATTGTTGGTTTTCGTTAATGAAGTGCTTTGTTTAATTAAAATTATGTTTTTATTAATTTTGGTCTTCCTTATTATATGAAGCGGCTTTATCTCCGGGCAGTGAAGGCCTGTAATCAATGTACATAGATACATAAGAACATCCAAGCTTGCCAGTTATTACCTTGTGGAGTTGAATGGCGGAGTTATGAGATTTTTGCCCGAAAAACTCTTTCGGAGCTGCAAGGGCACTGAGGGCGACTGTCCCTGAATGATTCATTGATTTGTGAGAAGTGAAATAGAAGTTAAACTTGAACAAAACAGACTTATCCTGTTCGTGGGCGTTTTCTGAAAGGGGTTCAACAACTCTTCTAGTCCGTGAAATTTAGAAAAACAGAACCCATTGCCTCGTGATATTTCTCGAGTTCACGAACCCAGTGGCAGCCGATTAGGATAGACTTATCACCATTTTGACATCCCGTGGTAAATAAAAATACAAAACACTTCAACTTTCATCACCCCAATAACATGCTTAATAAAGTACTGTCTTGATAATGATGGTGTTAATTTCTTCATGACCTGCAAATTACTACTCGTATCTTGAACCCTCAAATTTCCCGAATCATCCAGTACGTGGAATTTTTAGAACTTTCTAATGACCAAGAAGCCTAAAAGCTTACCAATAGAGAGTGGTAGCCCCCAGCCACTTGGTATCCCCCACCTTGGGGTCTATTTCGCCCACTTTCAAATTTTTGATTACTCCAGATTACTATTTAAATGCCTGGTGCTTTAAGGCCACCGTTTACAATTCTGTGGTCTTTTCTCTCGTTCGTAATGATCCAAAGAAGAGCCGCCGATAAACTTACGTAAGCTATATCATTGTATAAGATAAAACCGGATATAAATTATGTCTATACATATTGATAGATACTTTATACTTATATAAGATGCATTAATTTTACACGGTTTTTGTATAATGTGCGAAAACCTTAAAGGAACATGCGTGCCATTTGTTTTGGGAGGGTTTCGGGGGGGAGGGGGGGGGGGGGGTGATTTAGTCTTGAATATGCGTAAATAGTCTCCAGAAGTACAAGAAATTTCAGAAAATCACACAATTCCTTTAAAAATACTTCAAACTAGGAATTTTACTCACTATTTCTATATATCGCCATTTTAATCACTATTGATTACTATTACTGATTAACTTAGCTAAAAAAAATCCAGTTTCTGAGGCTAAAGTATGATTGGTCAAAAAATGAGCTATCTGTCCCTTTAAGGGGTTGCCCTTGTCAACTCCTTTCCAATTTGGAAGTGCTCTCATTGCAGACAACATGGCCTTACTCGTCATTATGTCTCAAAATTGACTCAGATGTTAATATACGGAATCAAATATTTTTGAAAACGAAATGAAACGTGAAAGAATTGAATGCTCGAGGTACTAGATTGGATGCAGACACTGTTGACAATTTTTCTACTATATCGACAATCTCATACCGTGCCTCGTTTATTCACACCTTTAGGTAATTGACACTCGAAAATTAATACTAATATGCATAATTATAAATGACACGTATTATTTTACTTTAGTATTGGCGAACATGAACGAAGTGTCAACGACCCTTTTATATAACAACGAAGAATTTAGGGTTTTCTAGCCCGTGGTTTCGTATCAGTCTGTAACAACCCGGCGTCTGTGGAGGGGGGCGTTTATTGGACTTATATCTGAAATATTTTCCAAAAATGCCATCGTGTTTAGTAAGTCGGGTAGATCTGTACACTTCTGGCCGATTCCAATCCCAGCCTATGTCCGTAGTCGTTTGAAAGCATTTCAAATAAAGCACTTATTTTTGCCCCGTCTGTCAACATTTCCCTCAAGTGAATAAGACGCGCGTAGAAGATAAATTGGAGAACTTTTAATGTGCAGTAACTAATGTCATCATAACTGTAGAAGATTTATTATGTTTTCACGACGACTGACGTACTCGACATATCACGTTATAGGCAATGATAATTTGTTTTAGAATTATTTTAAACAAATATGTTGTCACCAATGTACGCGGTCAACTCACTTCATAATTTACTGTTTCTCTTTCTACATATACTATCATTGAACTTCCAACTTTCCTAACACCTAAAACCATCTTTCACTTGGTCTCATCAACTTAGTAATCCCTCCCGAGAGTTGAAAGGGTGCAACTAGGTATGGGCCCGAATTGACAGCAGTAGCTCAACTACCATATAGACTGGTTGAACCAAGTCCACGGGTCCCCGCCCCTAAACAAAATATTAACAGACATTTACTTGGTTTACAAGGGGGATCTCAGAATGCCGGAGAGCATATCTTAAAAAGAAAATATCCCCGGGGGGAGGGGCCCCATACTACTTAATTCCACGGTCCTCCTCTCATCTAGTTGAGTCACTAACCGGGAGCGTAGGCTTTCAGTTTGTGGAACTATGAAAGATTATTTGGAATATCATTGATTAGAACTTCACCCAGGACTTCCTTAGGGGTAAGTAAAATATTCGCCAGGAGCCCCCTGGGGTCACATAGTTCAAGAGCAATTTTCAAACTGCCCATTAACAAAGTGACTGCCAGATCATATTATATTGGACTAGACGATTAGCTATAGACTGTCTGTACCTTACTATTTATTATATTGGTCAAGGTTGATAAATATGTAAACAGTAAATGGGCCACGCGCGGACGAGGGGGTATTTAAGAAGTAGGTAAACAGTCGCGGATAATCTTGTGATTGCTGGAAGCGAACGTCATCTACCACTTAACTTGTCATCTACCAACAACTTCCTCGTCTGTGTTATCAGTTAGCTGGAAGTGGACGTTAACTTGTCATCTACTAACAACTACCTAGTCTGTGATATCAGTTAGCTGGAAGCGAACGGTAACTTGTTTGTCCCAACAAGCCAAACAACCAATTTAGTTAACTGGAAGCGGACGTAGACTTACCTAGTTTGTGATATCAGCTTGTTGCAAGCGGACATTGTCTTGCCATGTATCAACTAGCCAAATAACCAATTAAATCATCAGTTAACTGGAAGCTGGCGTTTACCAATGATTCAAGCAGTAAAATTTACTTGTCATGTAGATTAATTATATATGTCATCGTTAAACCTTCACTGAAATAATCTCTCACTGCATCTTAGTGACATAACTACAGTCTCAACATTCGGAAAAGAAGGCGGTTATCTTGGTGCAATATTGAGGTGCAGCATTTGAGAAATCTATTGTAGTGCTGAAAGCATCAACGATTGTTGTGTCTGTGCTATTGCTGAATGGATTTCAGTTTCTGGGATATGATAGTCGGCTTAGTGGAGAATTTCTTTTGAGTCGTAGTATTGAAACATTTTGAAGACACCTGAAGAATTTTAGATCCTCTGCAACATTAATTATATTCGACCGTATTCGCTGGGTACCTCTTCTGAACCATTGAAAGCTTGGACCTTCGGCAATTGATATCACACTATCGTCGACTGTACTAGGATTATATATTGTTGAGAACCTAACTACGTGGTCTGTCTTGGTGTGGTTCTTGGTACAGGGCTGTACTCTCGGTTAACTAACTGCTATAAGGTAAGTGAGCGATCGGAATTTTAGATGCTTAGTCCCTCCAAGACATCAAAGGTAACCATATTACTTTTTATGTATTTATCTTTTATAAATTGGTACATATCTTGAAGTTTCGAGTTAAAACAAGCCTTTAGCACAATACATGTTATAATGAGGCAAACAGGATTTGGGATGGTTTTAAGAAATATTTTGAAGTTCCAAAAGTGAGACATTTGCCTCGTTTGCCTCCATTACGCTACGATCTTTTAAAAACTTGAAACTTGAGAGCTATCATTCATTTCGTGAAGACAATGATCTACTGTAGGAAGATTTTGTTGTGTTTATTAACAAACACTTCATATATTACACAAACCTTG